GCATGAAGTTACCAGGTGTATACAGGGCAGGCCCATAGATTGTATATGTAATGGGAGTTCTGCCATTTCAGGTGAGTGCTGTGTGGCTCTTCACTCAGTAACAGGGAAATCATCGGATCTATTTGAGACATGCTTGACTCACAGAGGAGAAGAGATGGGTTCTATTCGAGGACGAATCAGGGCTTATGGACCACCAGACCGCCGAAGGATCCGGGAAAGGGTCTATGGTGGGTTATCCACATGATCTCACTCTATCATTTCCTCAAATATACCCTGTTTTAGTTCCTCCTCTGCTTTGGCTCTATTTTCACTTTTCTATCTACCATGGCTTCCTCTTTTGCTGCTGTGCTGCCTGATCTTGTCCAGATGCATTCTGAGACCTTCACTGAAATATGACCCTTAACGTACCGCTCACTGAACACCCAGTGGCTTTGCCACAGATGACTACAATATTTAAACATTTAGACATGAGACATGAGACATATCTTCTGCACATTGCAGAGTGGCTCTGCATGGAGAAGGATGAGAAGGAAACGATGAAGGATCATTTGTCTCGCCAGTCTTCCTGTGCATTCTCAAACCAGTGAGTAAAAAATGGACCTAGGTTAATAAATAGTGTTTACTTTATCTATGGTAAAGTATTTTTATTTACATACTTGTTCAGATGATCGTGTTCTGCTACCTTTTTCCATTGGACATTACTTTGATTACACTTCATGTTCCCTCTGTAGAGCACCATCATCCTCATATGTGGCAGCGCCTAACAGCTACACCAATCCTGCGTACTTCATCTTTGAGGGGGTGCCTGTGTTGCGAAGAGTCGAAGAGATTCCCTCATCCGGCAAAGAATCCCAAGTGGTATATGCCAAAGATGCTGTGATACAGCTCCCTAGAGTGACTGGAGGTCACAGCCATGGCAAAAGGTCTGCTCGGAGGTCCGACTTCACAGAGATTGAGATTCCTGGATCTTTAGCACCCTATAAATCATCTTGTGAGACTCAAAGTGAACTGACGTCAACTGCCTCCTCTTATCAGCTTTTCCCAGGTCCAGATGTTCCTAATACATCCCCAAACCAAAGACACACCACCTCCTCGAATACATCTTTACTGTTACAGTCCCATAAGAACAATGCAACACAGGATTCAGTATTATCAGTCAAAAAAGTCACAAACTCCTACATGAATAGTTCTGTTTTTTCCCGGGACATACAGGCGCCACTCAAAGAAAAAGTCAGAAAGGACTATCAAAGGCTACACCAAGATCGGCCCCCGTCAATGAGAAATGGACCAAAGCTGTACCCATATATATCCACAACGGTTCCCGTTGATGAAGTTTCAGTACCCTGGATAGTAGAGCAGCCAACAACAGCTTCAGGAGACAACTCGCTTACAGCCCTCCAAATTGCTAAATCACTAAGTGAGGTGGATTTTCAGCCAGTAGACAGAAAGTACCAGTTTAATCAAATGTCGTCTCAGCAAAGGCATCATGGATATAATTATGGTTTAGCTAGTGAGAGAAACTACAGCTGGGAGAAAGAGGTAAGTTGAGTATTTTTCTGATATGGATTATGTTGTTTATGGATTTTAGGATTAGCTTTGGGGTTTAGCTTTGTTGAATACAAAAGCAACGTGTGTCCGCAGGTGTCAGTCTTACATGGAGCTCCAGAAACAGTGCGGGAGCTGCTCAGCACTCTGGGTTTGCAGCGCTACACGCTGGACCTCAGCCGTAATGGCTGGGATGATCTTGATTACTTCAGGTAAGGTTGATGTGATGTAGCCAAAAATCTGACATAGACTTCTTCATTTGCTTCTGTTCTCAGAGTCATTTGCTTCAGTTAATGATTCTAAGCAGCAACAGTGCTTCGTGAACATATATACGTCAATCTGTGCACTCTTCTCATGCAGTGGTATTACAGAGGAGGAGCTGTGTGCAGCGGGTGTGTCTAACCCATCTCATCGACGAAGAATCTTGGAGAACCTTCCCAAGATCTGGGACTGAACTGAAAAGACTATCAGGTGTCACGTCAGGAGACCCTAAATGACAAGTTCAGTATTTGTATTATTAATAATTTTTTTTTACTCTTCTTTGTAATTTTTCAAGTTTAAATTCCATTCATAATAAAGTTCATCACACAATGTGTTCATTATGTCCCTGTGGTCCTAAACATACGGTGTGGAATAAACTACAGTCCAACACTTGCTTCTAACAATCCAAACAAATCATATCTATCACTAAAACACAGACTCTTTAAAATTGTTTACTTTAGCATTGATTGTCTTGATACTCATACTTAGTTACTGTGTATATAATAGCACGACAAGTCAACCTTGTCTTATCTGAGCATTAGCTGTGAAATGTTCTGGTTCAGTACCCTGTCACAGCTTGCCTGTTTTTAGCCTAGTTACTGTATTTATTCCTAGGAGACCCCTTGCTATAAATTACCCTTTTAAAAGTGCATAAAGCAATTGTTTGTTAACGGAGTCAGCTGGTCCTTTTAAGAGGAATACATATTTTACTATTTACCCCAGGGATTTAATTGCAGTGATGCTGTTCTCCCCTTTACTTAAGAGATAAGCTCATGGATTTTTAATGCTTAATTGAACAAACACAATGTTTTCCAGTGTGGGCTTACATCACTGGGCCAACTGTAAATATAACCTGCAAAAAAAGGTAACGGAATAAGCACTGTTCACATTTTTCCTGAACATTATATGTGTAAATATGTTCCACAGGGATTTAAAAAAATGATGTGTAAAAATGATGTTCCACAGGGATTTAATACACGTAAAATGTCAGTCTATTTGTTTGTATTCATATAAAGCTATAAAACCAACTAGCTATGCTTAATTTATGATGTTACCTTGACGTTAACTGAATTATCCCACCTCCACAGTCCTAAAGCCTTTATTCTTGCAATTGTATATCTGTAATTTGATAAATTATGTAATATTCACTTTAGATTACGGTGATGGTTTTATGAAGTCGCAGGGAAAAAAATTGACTAAATGGTGATTTTTTTACATTTTATTTTAAATCTATACTATTCAGTGTCAATATTTGATCATCTTTAAACTTGAACAAGTATGGTACAGAAGGTTGTTTGTATAGAAACAGGATCTTTGAGAACTATGTTTGCCCTGGGATAAGAGTTGACTCTTAGACATATCAAAAACAATGAGTCTGGAGTGTTTGTAATGACATCAACTTGTCCTAATGATGTCCAGAGACATGTCTTGCATAAGTGCGGTAATCTGATGGATGGATCTAGACAGATGTACAGAGAGAAAAATATGAATTGGAGAAAGTTCAGTGCGAGTTCACACCCTTGTGCGCTCTCGGCTGAAGAAAGCATCTCAGTGAGTCTGGGTATTACATAATTTTAATGATAGCTTATCACAAATAAACTTCCTTTCTGCTCTTACAGAAAATGTCCCTTATTTATCACTCCAGTAGTTTGTGGCTCTTGACTTTATATCTATCTGCTTTTCAGTGACACAAAGGAAAGTGGGCGTAGTAGGCGTTTATTCTGCACTGGCCTGCCTGACCTGTCAGTTATTAGATTATGTAGGCTAGAGATGAAGAGTGAAACTGAGCTGTATTCCCGGTGACCTACAGTTTACGTCACATTAATGAATCATTGTCCCACTCACATTCCTGTACAATTTATGCAAATTGTATATCACCTAGTTATATCCCATAACTCCCTCTTGGATTAACCATCAAGTCAGCACTGCAAAGGAAGTGGGTTTTACCATACCAACAATGCAAACTAATCTCCCCAGCTTTCATACAGCTGATAATTTTTTATTTCATGACACATGAATTGTAATTAAATGTTTTTTATAACATCCTAGATGTCAGTGATATACTGTATAATACTAACATAATGTCAAATAAATTTGAACTATCACGATATCACAGATTATTTAACTTCAAACTATGTAGTTTATTACTGCAGCCAACACCATAAAACAATTGTGCAAATATTCAATGTGAACTTTAACTCAGAGAAGCATAGCAGTCATGCACCCTATTATGGCACTCCAACTGATCACCAGCAGATAAAAGTCTTTCTTGCAGTAACCTTTTGTCCTGTTCGTTTAGCTTTCCAGACACTCAATCTTCCATTTTTACATCATCTGCCCCGGCCAAACACGGATAATATAATGTGCCTAACAGCACACCTGGGTGATCTGATATAAACGTGTGTGATTGTTTCTGAGTTGCTAAAGAATCAGTTACAGCACATGAGCATTAAGGTCTCCTCTCTAAGGCAGACATGCACTACTAACCTCTCATTGGTCAAATGGGACTGTGTTTTAACTTTTTACTAAATATTAACTTTACTCCAAACAAATATGCATAAGCTCCCCTATAACTCTTGGGAAACACTTACATTTCTTTACTGGATATGGAAAACATGGAACTTCTTTGGAACTTCAGTGCATTATTTTGGGATGAAAAGACACAATTCTTGCATATGGTATGTAGCACACACAGTCACATGGCTTGCTGGAAGTGAAATGACAAAGAGAAATAGAATAAAGGAAGGTCATTTGGGGAAAATTAGAAAACGTTTCTAAAATCCTGGAATTAAAATATTAAGCGTGTCTGTTTGGAGTTGGTATATACAACGGAAAGAAAACAGCACCAAGTGTGCGTGCGTTGGGGTTAATGTACCTTCAAGGATTTTATCATAAAAACTGGGCTGTATCGTTTACGAGAGCCAACATGTAATGTTTAAAGGGCATGTGAGATGACTTTCGATTGTAAATTACTGTCTGTGTGATGGGCAAAGATGGCAGAAACTGATAAGAGCATGATATGATACTGAGATGAGTTCAAGCGATTTAGTTTGGAAAATTACATTAAGGAATAGTAGAAAAAGAAGAGCTCCTCTTTTAATAGGCTATCTAAGACTAGGTATTTTAATGCCTTAGCAGGTTTCTCGTAGGATTTAAGAAAAGTGATGCGATATTTAACAATACCTGTCACAATTGTTGATGAATTGGTCTTCTTGAAGATCTGAAGGGAGAAACTTCGGCGCTGATTCCCCGCCCCTCAGCTAATGCTCTCACCTAGTCCAGCGGACCACAGCAGATCGAGAGCGCCCTGTGCGATAAATCTGGATGCCTAAACCTTTTAAACAAGTTGATTTCTGAAACACTAGCGTCAGCCATCTAAGTTCATGCTTTGATATGTGAATGGACGTATGTACCTCGTTCAGCTGAGTGAACGGTAAGTTTTAGCACGTGAAAACAACTCCGCGTGCTCCACTCTCTCTGTTTTCCAACCAAATTACGTCTCGTGCGCCCTAAATGTGTGCGAAAAAGTTTTTCTTTCTGTTTTGTGATTTATTATAAAACAGCATAGTGCTCAAACGGGAGATAGTTTCGTATGAGCTTATCTCGGGAATTGTCATGATTTATGAGAATAAGTTTTCGTGTGGATTTTGAATATTGTTTTAGACCTAAACCCTATATAATGAGTTAAAAATCAGACTTCTAAGCACACAAAAGAGACTATTTTTTTGTAGACACTTTCAGCCAGTAGTTTATGTTGATTTTATAGCTTGTGACATAATGTTATACACTGAAATCTACTTTAATATTTTGTGTTGACTTCTAACTTCTAAAAATTGCTATAAACATCTTTTGTTGTTATTTTAACAGAGAAATGACTTCATTCTTAAGGAAAAGCGTCTCAGGGAATTTGTCCCTTGTGTACACCACACTGATACCGAGGTCTGAGAAGGAAGTGAATTTCAGCTGTCTCTTCAATGAGGAGTTCAAGTATATTCTGCTACCTGTATCATACTCCCTAGTGTGTTTCCTGGGACTGATACTTAACTCTGTGGCTCTGTGGATGTTCATCACTAAGATGAGGCCCTGGAAACCCAGTACGGTTTATATGTTCCATCTGGCCCTGTCGGACACGCTCTATGTGCTCTCCTTGCCTATGCTCATATACTACTACGCAAACCGCAGCCACTGGCCTTTTGGGGTTTTTCTCTGTAAGATTGTGCGGTTTCTTTTCTATGCTAACTTGTACTGCAGCATCCTGTTTCTCACTTGCATCAGTGTGCACCGCTACCTTGGTATCTGTCACCCCATTCGTGCTCTGACTTTGATCAAGCCACGCCATGCCCACATGGTGTGTGGTTTTGTCTGGACTGCTGTGATAGCCTGCCTGGTGCCCAAGCTGATTTTTGTCAACACTTCTCAAAGAGGAAATGACACTTTGTGTCACGACACCAGCCGCCCGGATGAATTTCACGACTATGTTACCTACAACTCAGTGGTGATGGTCCTGCTGTTTATCCTGCCATTTCTGGTCATCATGGTCTGCTACTGTTTAATGGCACGGGCCCTTTGCCAACCCCGAAAGGGCCTGTCCCAAAGTCAACTGAGTTCATCCCGGAAGAAGTCCATTAAACTTATCATAGTGGTGCTGGTTGTGTTTGCGATTTGCTTTGTACCCTTCCACATCACCCGTTCGCTCTACTACTCCTACCGTATTCTAGACGCAGATTGCAGGTCCCTTAATATCATCAACTTTGCTTATAAAATCACTCGCCCACTTGCTAGCATGAACAGCTGTTTGGACCCCATCCTCTACTTCCTGGCAGGGGATCACTACCGCTCTAAACTCCTCAGAGCGTTCACTAGACAAACTCCGAACACTCGTTCTACCGCGTATGTGCATGATAACAACATCGGGCTGGCCTTTAAGAACCCAGATGCCCAAGCTGGCACTGAGTCGAGACTCTAGATTCACATACCCAGACATTTTGGGTAATCTTTTAAAAAGCAGTTCTGGAAGACTGCTGCAAATTTTGTAAAGACATCCCAAGCATTCTCTGTCAACAGACATCATTCTGCAGATACGCATCCAGAAGAATTCAGGACAGTCTTGTAAACACTACAGCGTAGATAAAAGTAAAGGAATCTTTTTGCTTCCTTTGTGCACTCCTAATGTTTTTTTTCATTCAGTGTGATTGCTGGTGCAGAGGAACTGCAGCTTGTTTTATAAAAGCTCTGATGGCCAATCACTCCTGGTTACTTGTAATGTTGAAGTTTCTCACTATTGGTCAAGGATACAGCTTGGCAGTGTTGGGGTTCTGTCAACACTGAAAACAAAACCTACTCTATATCCCAGAGATGGACTCTGGCCTGTGACTGTTACTACAGAAATGTCAGTATAAAGCCTTTTGTGTGTTATGTTATGTGCGAAGGTCCTATGGTAGGAAATGAAAGTGTGAATTCCTCCTGCAAAAAAGTAGGACTTTAGTTTTTAACTTGCAGTATTTTAACCAATGAAAGAAATTAATTTTGTATTGATTATTAAAGAATACCCATTTTATTCTACTCTTTATGTTGATACTGAACACATTGTAAAGATAAATTAACATTATTTGAATCAAACAGAAAAGTTGGAAAGGCACTTTGAGTGAAAAGGTGAATGGTTGTGGGGGAGGCTGAAATTCGAGCTGCAGTTGTGCAGTTATCCCCGCTTGGCTTGCTTCATTCCTCGTACAGATGTTTTTCTCCTTTGGCGGAGCAGATCTACAGCTGTGCTGCTGCATGTGTGAATTTGTGAGTATTTGCATAGCTGGGCTGAATGAAGGAAAAAAAAAGATCGAAGAAATCAGATCCGTTTTGGCATATTGAGGAGAGTTTTTTTTTTTTTTTTTTTTTCTCAGATGTAACCTCTGTGGGAATGTTTAGGAGTTTATGCATTTTATTATTTCATGTTTAGTTTCTTTTAAAATAATGTTATATTTTATGACGGCTCTCTGGTCATGGTATTTGTTTAATTTTAAGTTGCATTTACATAATGTGTTTTGTATTTACTTTGGCTAAGTTTTCTGTGTATATCCTGTGTCTGTTTTATATGCCCCTCTCTGATACAAACAAAATCACAACTAAAATAAATCAGAAGAAGAGACCATACTTGTTTACAAAATACTTAAGTAGAATGAAAGGATCTATTTTATTGACAGCATGCTAGAAAATGTGTTGTAAAGCTAATCATTTATGTCTGCTATGTGCTTTTTTATACTGCCAAGCATTTATGGATCATTTACAACTTATTTTTTGAATTTTGTGTATACTGAAATGCATTTTGTATAACTATTTATATCTAACCATATATACTGTACAGTATAAGATTGTGGGTGCCATTTAAGGACACAGAGCAAAAGATTAAATTGAAGTTTCAAGTTAAAAATTGAAAATTGAAATTTTCAAATGATATTATCCAGTAGAAAGTGCTTTTATTTTATTATTTTTTTCACATAGATATTGCTTAGAGCAAATTACAAAGAAAGTAATTTGATATATTTGTGTGATATGGCATAATATTGCAATTAATATGGCAAGTTGCATTTTTTTTTTTGAGATTGTGAAATAGTGATGCTCTTGGGGCTCTCAGGGGAAAGCTCTTCATTTTTTTTCTTTCAGTCAGTAGAGGTCCCCAGAGCTGTTTTCAAATGTTTCTAATAAGGAATGAGTGCATGGACTTAATACTCGCATCTCCTTGAGCTCTCTGTCCAGTGCCTTTGGCTGTGATAAATAGACTTGTTGGCTGCTGCTTTTGCTGTGGGGTTGTTCAGGTCATGAATAGTTTAATATGCACAGGAGATAGAGGGTTAATATCCCCCTTCTTTTCTTGCACTAAAATCACCCTGAATATTTGGAAACAAATGGCATCAAATAAGTCAAGGCCCATACACAATACATGCATATAAACAAAAAGATGACTACAGTGTGGACTAAGTTTACTCTATGGATTTCTGTTCAAAATGGGAAGAACATCTGTAAATAACCTCTGTGAATAATACAATTAAAAGCAAACACACATGAGTGTTTCCAATTGCAAGTTTTGTTTTTGAAGTGGTAAGCCTACTTTTATTGTAATACTTCTACAGGTAAATATTTTACACTTATATGTTGTTGTCAAAGAGGGTGGGTTATGTTTTAAGTCTGACATTTATTTCTCTTTAATAGTCCTGATTTTCCCTCCCCCTCTGTCTCTCATGTCCTCAACTGTTTTCATCCTCTCATTCTTGTGCACGGCCCAAGGACAAGGGTTGGGAGAAATCAATGTTGTGAGCACCGCAATACAATACTCATAAAAGACGTTGAGCTATAAAAAATGTAACTGCCGGAGAAGCACGGTTTTTCCCATCAGTTCTAGCAATAAGTAACCTTTATGTGTTTTATTTGTGTTGTTCACTGACATAAAAGAGCTTTTACACAGTCTAAAGACAATTGATTTCTTTGGTCACAAAAGCATGTTTTCGATTAATTGCTATATAGCTCCGTAAAATGATAATAAAAAGTTACTTGTTCATATTAATCTATGAAACAACAAAACAAAGTGTGTGGTGTGTATACACACACACACACACACACATTATATGCAGTAGTCAACATTTGAAGTGGATCAAAAAAGTTCATCAAAGTTGTCCTAAGACAATAACACATTTTGGTTTTAGGTTTAGGAAAGGTTTTGATTCACTTCAAATGTTGACATATATATATATGTATGTATGTATGTATATATATATATATATATATGTATATATGTATATGTGTGTGTGTGTATAATACAGGTTTACAGTATTATAATACAGGTACATTATATATTATTTACACAATAGTGGTACATTAAAAACTATCATACATTATTACCATGATTTAGAAAAGAAACCCACTAAAATGTAATTCAGTGTAACGATAGTTCATATAACAAAAAATCTTGTCAGGCAGATTTAGAACAAGAATCATTAGGTGAGATTTTTTAATTTTTTTTAAATATTGTAATTTTAATCTTTACCAACCTTTGCCACTATATACCATGTCCTATAAGTTGTACCTATTTGTTAGCAAGAACTTTTTAATTATTTAAAATAAAGTACTTTTTGCTTTTACTCTCTTTTATATATTTTAATAAGTACAGGTTAAAGTAAGTATTTTGATTAATTTTTACACACACACACACATATATAGATATATATATATATATATCTGTTATACTGAATGAAAACAGAACATTATTTTGCCCATATTTTGACATTTTTTTACAAAAGTTATTTGAAACATTTAAAGTAGACACTTTACTTGCATTTGAAATGCTGTCTATGTATATTAAATCACTTTTGTAAATTTAATTTGATGCAGACACCAAAATATATGCACACACACATACAGTATATGCAGTTCAAGTGTGTTTTATTTTTATTTTTATTTTTAGAGAAAGGTGACATCTGATCCTCAGGCAGCTCATCAAAAAGTTGTGGTGACAGCAATGTCTCTGTAGAAGATTGTGTAAGTTCATTGACATTAGTTTTTTACATTTCCACATATGTTGCTTTATATGCATGCAGTCAACAACAAAAAACATGATACATCTTTGCAAAATCTGCATGTTAGTTTTAAACCTGATTTATATAAAGGTAGATGAGGAGTTAAGGTTGTACTTTCCCGTCATACAGACATTCTGTTTCTACCTACTGAGATGTACTTTTTATAAGCAAACTGTTCAACCTGGGATGCATGATGACTTTACGTTCATGGTCTCTCTGTTGTGTTGTTTGTCACATTCGAGAATAAACGAATGATTTCAAGGACGTGGACAAGGGCTGAGAGTGGAGAGGAAGAGTGACATAAAGAGGAAAGAAGTTCATTACCCAGCTGAAAAGGAGGCAAATGGCTTTCATAGTCGCCATGGGAACAGGGCTTTCTCTCTCTGACAAACCTATTATAAGGTACTTCACTGGCCTAAACACAATTATTGCATGCTAAAAAGGGAAATATTGCTTTCCAGTGTAATAGGTGGTAAATATTGATTCACATGGGTGTTCAAGCAGACCTTCAGTATACATGTCTAATTTGCCTCTTAATTCAGATTTTGGCCACATGAACATTTTCACAAGAAACTTCTTAATCCTATTACTAAATTGATAAAGCAGT